TATCCCAAACCAGCCCTCGGGCAGGGGCTTAAGGGAAGGGTAGGCAAGGGCCCGAGCGCTGGGCTCACTGTGAGGATGAGGAGACAGTGAGCTGCAGCTGGGAGGTGAGGGAACAATTGGCACTGGGAGCCAAGTGCACAAAGTGCGACAAGACACCCTGAAATGTGGGCTTTGTGTGTGCTGTGCTCACCCACACTGGGGAGACTGGGGATGAGCAGGAGCCAGGAAATCTGGGAGTGAGCACGGAAGCCCAAGGGCAGAACTCGGAGCTGTTAGTTTGTTTGAAGGTGGTTTAAAGAAACAGAGTTTGCCTGTCGATAGCACACTGTGTAGAAGGGCAGGGATAGTGTTAGGAAGCAGTTTTCAGGSTCAGGATGGACCACATGAGAACACAACACTGTGACAGTCACCCTGAACATGGTAACTATCCTGTGGGCCTGTGCTTGCTGCTCAGCCACCGGCCACAGAGAAAAATTCTCAGAGCTGGTCCTCTGAGAACCCTGAGTCCCACAGGAATGGGATGGGGAAAGGCATGAAGTGCACCTCCTCAGCATAGCTTACTTATCAAAAGGCAGCTTGCCTGCTTCTCCCCTTGGTCCTGGGCTATGAGGCATCCAGAAGCATTCTTGTGCCACTGCCCAAGTGCCTCAGGAACAAGAGGGGCTCCTGGAACTACCCTCCCAGGGGCTCGTGGCCTCAGGCTTACTCTGTACATCCATATTCAGCTGATAGGGACTCAGTCTCCAGGGAAACGGCTTGCTCTTCTAACACTGCTGCCCAGACCAAATAAATCTCTTTTCTGGCAAGCCAGAAAACAAGTCAGCCCTGACAACAGTGGTGGCTGGCTTCCCACAAAGATCCCCTTTTCTAGGGAGGAGCTGCAGATGTCACCAACTCCCTGTCCTTTCCACTCTCCACAAAGGATCTGCCATTTCCAGAAGATGCAAGCAGGTGGGAAAGTCTCACCTGGCTTTTGCTAGTGCTGTGTCCTGGGATGGCAGAGCTGGGAAGCTTCACAGCAGAGCTGAGCTGCCATGTAGTGCCCAGCAGAGCTGGACCTGCTTTGCAACTGCAGTCATGGATGTGGATTCCCTGCAAAAAAACCAAGCTTCTCAAGAAGAAAAAGAGCTCCATGAAAGCCTAGCTTCCTGGAGAGCCCTGGAGTGTCTTGTTGCCGATAGTAGCTCAGAGCAGGGCTGCCYGCTCTGATGTGGGACAGGCTGCTCTGCCACTGTCACTCGTATCTCCCATCCTGCTGCTCCCAGTGCCATCCCGCTTGCCTTCAGGGATGCTCTGGCCATTCCTGGCAGGGAATGGGGGGGATTCTTATATGTCTGTGCACAAAACAGCTGGTGCTGCACAGCTGGTTCTCCTCCATCACCTTCCCTGCACAAGCCCAATAACCATGACAGACAACTTTCCCTATCTCCTACCATCCAACTGTGCCAGCTTCCCTTGCTCCCTACCTTTTCCAATTCATTTCAGTCCCTCAGCACTACCTGCTCCCTCCCTCCCCAGGACAGCACCAGGACACTGGAGGGATAAGGACAAAAAGCAGCAATGGGGACCCTGTTTTCTCACCTCTTGTATTAAGATCTTTAGTGGGGCAGCAGAGCAGTGCCCTGACCTTGAGAGGCACCACTGATTTGGGTCAAGGGCCATGCTACRAACCCTGTTCTGTCTGTACCTTCACCTCTCTTCCGCCTGCACACGAAGTCAGGCTCCTGCAAAAAAGCCTTGGGCCATGCCTTGGACTCAGGCGGTAGCCAGGACCTCTGTGCTGGGCCAAATCACACCGAAGGCAGCCAGGGAACAGTGCCTAGGGAGAAAGGAGCTGCATGGGGAATGGTGCAAGGGGGAAGGGCAAACTCCCAGCGGTCAGCCTAGAAATGGAAAGGGTCATGGGACAGTCCCCAGCTACTGGGACAAAGGGCCTACAAGGGGTGAATGGGGCTGCAGAAGAAGTTCTGGCAGGGAGGTGAGCTGTGGCACAGAGCCAGGAGCCCCAACAACGTGGAGGGCTCCGTGGCGCTGCTTTCTGTGGGGCAGGCACCCCCGGGGCTTTTACAGGACCATACGTGACTGGCGGGAAGGGGAGGGAGCCAGCGCTCAGGGAAGTCTGGGACTGACACAGGAAGGTGACGGGGCCAGTAAACGGTGGCCGTGCCAGTGGCTGGGTGACATCCCCACGGGCAGGGTAACCAAACACCGTCCCCAGGGGGCTGTCTTGGGGAATGGCGAAAGGGGAGGCGTTTGTTGCTCCGTGGCGCTGCTCCCCGGGGTCCCGCAGCGGGACGGGAAAGCAAGGCAGCAGCAGCCAGCGCCGGCGGGAGCGGGGCCGAGCGTGCCGGGGTCGGAGCGCCGGTGGGACAGCCGGCCACTCCGCGGCCCCGCACTGCTGCGGGACGGCTGCCAGGGCTTCCCTGAGCGCTGCTGCCGCCGCTGCCGGAGGCCCCGCTCCTCCCCAGCACCCACCCGCACCCGAGGCAGCCGGGACACCGCCGCGTCGCTTACATGTTTTCCCGGGCGCTGCCGGCTCCTTCCCGCGGCGCCGCCGCCTGCAGGACACTGTCCCGTCCCGCACCGCCCGGTGCCAGCGCTGCCGGCCGCAGCACGCCGGGTCCTAGCGCTTCCCGCCGCGCCAAGGGCACCGCGCGGGCGGGCTGGGACAGCCCTCGGCCCCGGGGCCGCCGGGACTGCAGCCCGGTTTCCCCCATCCCTCGCATCCCGCTCTGCCCCGTCCGCACCTGATGGCGGGATGCTGCTGGGGTCGCCCCGCTACCGCAGCTCCGGCACACGAATGCCCGGTGCTCTGGCTTTTCCCCAGTGTCTCCCTTCTTCCTAGAGCAGGCGGCTGGCCTTCCTGCCCCGGGGGTCTCTGCCCCGGGAGCGGGGCTTAGCCGTGCTGTCCTTTTGCCCAGGCAAGGAGGACAGGGTGTCGGCAGCCAGCCCCTCCACTGCTGCTCCCCCCTTTCACTCCCTCCCGCACCGGGGTCAGGCTCCGAACCCTCCTTTCAGCTATGGGACTAGAAAGCTCTGGACCCAGGTGGAAGTCCCTCAGTGTGTGATGGCTCCAGAGCTCAGCACAGGCTCCCGGCTGCAGGGTGACCTTGCAGCAGGATTGCCGAGCAGCCGAAATGGGGACCGAGACCTTGGCTCGGTGGAGGAGGCTGGAACCAGACCCTCTCCTTGGTACCCAGCAGAACGAAGCACAGCAGGGACCGTGCTTACTCTGGTCACCTCCCTGCCTGCAGCCTGCCCTTACCTCGATAGCTCAGCTCTCCCGGTGCCAGACGATGCTGCCTGCAGACTCCTCACTGCCTGGTGCCAAGCAGGGCTGGGGTTTCCCAMGGCAGCAGAACCAAGGTGCAAAGGCTTTGCCACCCTACAGGCTCTGCTGCCGGAGTGGGTTTCGGAGCCCTGGCGCTGGCTGGGGCTGGCTGAGCACGGCTTCCGCTGGCTCAGCAGGTGGAGGCTGCATGCACGGGCAGATTAGTAGAGGGGGGGGGAATTGGCTTCTGTCGTAGGAACTACAAGAGGGATTCGTCAGCGGGTTGCAGCGGGGCCAAGTGCCAGCACGGGGAAGGAGAGAGGGGAGGCTGGGGGTGGGCAGCTGCCTCAGGGGGACAATGAACCCTGTACAAGGGGAGCACCGAAAGCAGTGCTGCAGGTGCCACCATCGTCCCTGGGATGGGGTTATCTCTCTAGCAGCACATGTCACCCCATGCTGCTGTCCTGGACTCGGGCCATGGCAGGAGGCTTGTTGAGCTCCCACCCCACCACGGGTCAGCATTAACCCCCTGGGGCCAGGAGGGGGGCCCCTAGTAAAGTACCCTGCACCCACCGCCCCTCTGCCGGGCCCCGCAGCYGCTCAGGAATGAACTGGCACCAGCCCACCAGCTGCTCTCCTGGTATGTGCAGCCGGAGCTGGAATGCTGTGCCTTGGCCTCCTCGCTGGCCTGGATAGGCCTGGCCCCTGCCCAGGGCATCACCCCTCCCAGCCCTACCATCCCGTGTCTCTTCCCATTAAGGAAGTGCAGGCAGCTGAAATTGGTGCTGGAGGAAAAAACAGGTGTCAGAGCCAAGAGTGATGGAGCCAAGTGGAGGGTGGTAAGACACAGGGGAAGCTCAGAAAGCACACTCCCACGCACAGAGCAGCATCTCGCACCAGCGTTCCCTCCACCCCCTTGCTGGGAATGTGGAGAAACCCCTCTGCTGGTGACACTGGTGTGCCCACCTCCACCTCAGTCTCTGTCCCCAGCCCCAGCAACACTGCAGGAGGGAGACGGGGTGGCAGAAGCATTTCTGCTCTCCCAGYCCTTACTGCAGGGCTGGGCTGTAGCCAGCACTTCTATTTTAAGCCCCACAATGTGTTTGAGGAGGCGAGCAGCGTGCACAGCGGAGCCTCGCAGCCTGACAGGGAGAGGCCCTGCTACCCACGTTCCTGGAAACTTCCCTGTCTCCCTCTAGGGCTGGTACAGGCTCAGGGCAGGTTGGACCAGCTGCTCTTTCCCGTTCTCACTAGAGGCAGCAACTGGGGCAGCTGAAACTGGCATGGCCTGGTGAAATTACTGCAAGAATATCTGGACTGCAGGAAGCTCTGTGGGTCCAGCCACACAACGCTGGTCCCGTCCATGTCACGCAGCATTCACCTGCTGCAACCTAGGCTGGCAGCCACCCTGTGAGACAGTAAGGCTGAGCTGGCTCCTGGCAGGGCTGTGCAGGTAGGAGTATTTACTCTGTGGGTAGCAACCTCCCTGCTGAGCTCCCAGGGCAGGGAAAAGGGGCCCAGATACCCTGTGGGATTAGCTGGGCTGAGTGCAGGCAGAGAGAAAGCACAGGACAAAGCATCCTTGTGAGAGGCACAAAACAGCTCAGACTTTCCCCGGGGCAGGACTGAAGCTCACTGTAGGGCTCTCCTCATCTGAAACTCCCCTGACTCCTTGCAGAGCCTCTTTTCTCCCATGCTGATGGGTACTACTGGACAAAAAAGCTCCCAGTCTCAGCATCTATTTATTTTTTAATAGAAACCACCATCCAGGCCCTTCTGCTTGTGCTGTGTGTCATCAGGATGCCTGGTTAGGCAGCAGCACCCAGGGAGAGCAYTGGGCAGGAGGGGTGCTCAGCACCAGGCTGAGGCTGGGGGCTGCAGTGGCTGGGGCAGAGGGCAGCCCCAGGGCTGGCTGAAGCAGAGCCACTTGGCAGAGCCTCCTGGGAAGGCAGCAAGACGTGAACCCGTGCTGGAAGTACAGACCGTGCCAGGATGGTCCAAGAGGAGGATAAAAGGCAGAGGAGGGCAATTTTCCCCCTTGTCTGGGGCTCACTCTTTCTTCCCAAAGAACTTCTTGAAGACGGATTTGTTCTTGGTGCGAGGGGGGCTGGCAGTCTTCTCCCCTAGYGTGTCCCGGGGACTCGCCGTTCGGGCCACAAAGGAGTGACAGCGTGCACGGGGCATGGCCGACACCTGCTCCCCAATGTACAGTGTAACGGAGTAGCTGCTCCCGGCCTCCAGCGGCTCCTTGGGCACGGCCAACGGGGTGATCTTCTGGTAGGTGGCTGCAAGAAGGAGCAGGCAGTGGGAGGGCAGGGTGCCAGCAGCCCTCTAGAGCCCTCCCGCAATGGGCGCTGCAGCCAAGGGCACAGGCATGTGGGACCAGGTGCATGCTGGAGCAGCAACGCATCTGTCCTCAGCTGTCTGTGGGGACACAAGCAGTGGTGCCACCTCCTGGCGGTGACAGCAAAATCAGGACTGTACCTGAGGTGAAAGAGTAGGACCTCCTCTTGTTGGCCACCAGCCCATAGTCGTCTTCAGGGCAGATGTTGTCCCACAGCCCGGGGGACCCCCTGGGCGACCACTGCTGCTCCTTGTGCGCAGTCCTTTGAGCATTCTCTGAAGCAGAATGGAGACATGTCACAAGGCAAGGCCACCACAGGACACCCCCTTGTCAGCCCCACAGAGAAGAGGGAAATGTATGACTATCTCAGTATCCCAGGAAGTAAATGTAACTTTCTCCAAGCCACGTGCCCTGGGATTCCTAGCCCAGATGCCACCGACAGCCTTCAGCCTCTCCTGGCGGGCTCCCTTGTACCTCTCTGGGCTGGGAGAGGAGCTGGGGGACATCGGGAACCCAACTGGACAGGAATGTCACCTGCTGCTGCCACAGTCCCATCAGTTGGGCCATCCTGGCTGCCCAGAGGCCGCTGCACTAAGGTGCTTGAGCAGGGTAACACCACAATCTCCTGGCTCTTGGTTGTCGTGACCTGATGATGTCCCTGAAGGTGGGAGCTCCCAGGGCTGGACACCTTGCTGAAACTGAAAGTAGCAGAGATTTAGCAAACCAGACCGGCTCATAGRTGTCCTGCTGGAGTAGCACACATTGGCAGATATGGAAGTCATATATAGTCATAGCTAGCCAGCTCCTGGCTACTCACCTGCCTGTTCCGCCACTGCCCTCGACGTGCTGTGCCGCTGCCTGGAAGTAATCCACTTCAGGGTAACCTAGGGGCACAGCAAACATCCTGCTGGATGCTGGCAGTGCATAGGACTGTCCCATACAACCAGTCCCTGATCTGAGTGCCCATGCTGCTGGGTGGCTCCTCCAACCTCCAACCAACATGCCAACATTTCATGCTCAATGAGCCAACATGCTCAATATTTCATGACAGAGCTTGAACTCCTCAGGTACAGGTACAGCAGCAGGAAGCCCTCAGTATTACATGTCTCCTTGCCWCAAGGGCAAGCAAGGCGTTTCCAGGCCCAGAGGATATGGAAGAAGACCAAGGCACAATTATAATTTTTACTGACACGGTCTTTTTGCTTCTGAAGCACCACTGACGTCAGTTGTGCTATTCCTGATTTATAACTGTGTATGTGGTGTGAAAACAAAGCCTCCAAATCCTGCCTGGCAGAGAACTGCTGTTCCCAAGGCAGGCTAGGAGGATGCATAAATCAGAGGGCAATTTTGTGCTGCTTCTCTTCTGACCCCCCCGCCATGTATCAGAGGGCTCAGCGGGGGCTGAACAAACATGGTAATCACATAGAGCTGGGCTCGTGCTCTGCCAGCAAGGGCTGCTCACCTGAGTTTTGCTGCAGCTTTGAGACCCATTCATTCATGAGGGGCTGGGTGGGGGCTCTCAGGAGATACTCAGAGCCATCCTGCAGCCTGCAGGGAGAGGGGAAGAACAGGTCAGCAGTGATATGGGGTGCAGATACCACAGCCCCCACTAGACTGGGAGAGAAGAGAAGCAGGTGAGAAAGAAAGAAGGAAATCCTGGACTGAGCTGGTCCTGGCTGGAGGTGTTGGTATGTGTGTCTGCCCCAGTAAGCGCATACTGGGAAGGGCTGTGGCTCCTGCCCTGGACTGGGGACTCACTGAAGCCTGAAGCAGTTGGTCTTCTTGGTGTACTCGGCATCTGGGGTGCAGACCGCCCCGGAGAGGTTCAGGGGAAGGGCCACCACGGAGCTCTGCAGGGTAAGGAGCAAGAGCAACAGTGGGGTTGGACAGCTCTGCCTTCCCTGGTCACGGGGGCCAGAGCCATCACCCTGCTGCCAGTCCCCTCCCATGCTGCCCCAGTGTCCCCTAGCGCACCTTGAGGCTGTCCCTCCGGTCCTGGTAGAAGCACAGCGTCTGCCTCATCAGCACGGCGTGGAAGAGGCCCCAGGCCCGGCAGTTGGCCTGTGGGACACAAGCAGGGGACAGCTGAGATGCCAACAGGTTTGGGAGAGGACAGATGGTCTCCTGCTGCTCAAAATGCAACACCCCCCCGCCCTCTGATGGTCTGTCCTCCCAGAATGGTGAGCAGTACTGCRGTGGCAGTTCTAGGAACATCCCTGCCTTCCCTCCATTCCCCACYCTGTCCCAAAGGAGCCCCACAGTCATGTCTTTACCTTTCTCCCTCCTGTCTGCAATACGTGCTTCCTTTCCAGCGTCCCCTCCATCATCTGAAACTCCATTTTACTGGGAAGGACCTGCAAGGGCACAGAGGGTGAGCAAGAACTGCTCTGGGGCTGCTGGTGCCAGCTCAGCCTCCATGCCCGTGGGGTCGATCTGACCCATCCCTGGTGAGCAATGCTGAAGTAGGAGTGGGATGTCAGTGAGGAACAACTTGCTGACCTGGGCAGGGGCTGGGCTGTGTGTCAGCTTTAGCAGTGTAGTGCTGCCTGGTTAAAGGGTTGGTGGGAGGATGTGTGCTGCAGGGACCCCAAATACCACACCACGTCCTTCCCCACCAGCTGAAGCAAAGGAGCCACTGGAGTCAGGAAGTCCCCAAATACAGGTCATGTTTGCTGGAGTGGGTAACCCAGCTGCTGCCTGGGGTGTTCCCCAGCCCCCTRTCTGACCCTGAGGGAGAGTCCCTGGCCTGTGGATCTCACCTTGCTGTTCTCTCTCTCCTCCTGCCCATGCCTCCGCTGATCCCAGGCGCTGGAGCCATCCAGGGGGGCTGCAGACACCAGCTCCTCCACACGGGGGGAGGAAACCCTGATCCCACTGGGGCTGCCACTGCCACTGTGCACTACCCCGGGGCTCTTGTCTCCTGACGGGCTGCGGAGCAGATGGGCAGTGGTGGGAAGGGTGAATTTGGCCACTAGCACGTTGTTGGCTGATGAGAGKATGAGGGGCCCACCAGCAGTGGTGCTGGGGCTGGGCAAGCTGTCTGCCCCGCTGTCTGTCCRGTGAGTGGCACAGCCGCTTCCTGGCGGGCTCTGTGCCCGTCGCTCGTGTGCCCCATCCCAGATGGCCTGCAGCTCCTCCTCCTCTTCCTCAAACTGCCTGTGGGCAGGGTGGCAAACTTCCTTAGCGCCCAGCACAGGGCTCTGGGGCTGTGGAGACCCCAGTGCCCACTCGAAGATGGAGAGCTGGGTGGGRGCAGCAGGGGAAGCTGGGGACCTTCTGTGCTGGCTGCTGCTGGCTGGCTGCTGTGCGCAGGCGGGGCTGGGGATGGCTCCCGTCCTGCCTGGGATGCTGGCAGGGGATGATCCAAGCTCCAGCCAAGCAGCTTTGTGATGCCTGGCCCTGCCAGTGCCACTGGGGCTGTCGTSCTGGCCAAAGCGGGTGGCCAGCTCATCCTCCACACTGACACGGGACGGCTGGCTTGGCCTCAAGTCCAGGAGCTCTTTACTGGTGCTGCTGGGGCTCTGCAGGTTGCGGTGCTCCTTCCCAGCACAGCGTGCCCTTTGCTGGCTGTAGCTGGGCTTGAGGCTCACCTCCTTGAACCATGCTCCTCGCTYGCTCTTGGGGGATGTGCCCAGCCTCTTGCTGGGCCCTTGGGGACTGTGCCCATCTTCCTGCCATCCAGCTCCATGTGTGCCTGTGGGCTTCCACAGCTTCACGCCTCGACCCTGCCTCTGCTCCCGCCCCTCTGCCTCCTGCTGCCGTGCCGCAGCCCCTCGGTGGCACCCCAGGACCACTGCATCCCGCGGCAGCTCCAGGCTGAGCACAGAGCCCAGGGAAAGGTGGGGACACGTGGTTTTCAGGGTCGGGAGGCAGGGGCTCTGGGGGGCTGCCCCGCACTCAGCATCRATGTCCTGCACCAGCGGGTTCCTGACATAGAGGAGCAGCTCCCCATGCTGGCGTCCAGCAGCAGCTGCCCCCRGCCCCCCCTTCCTCCGGCCACACTTTTGAGGCCACGTGTTGCTGGGGCCGTGGCATTCCTCGGGTGTGGGCCGTAGGGAACTGTCGCCCATGATGCCTTGGAGCGTCAGCAGCCGTGCCTGCTCTGCYCTGGCCTGCTCCCGCCGCTGCAGGCTGTTGAAGAGACAGCCTGCCCCRGCCTTAGGCAGGGTGTGGGACACAGCCGGCATCCCACCGCCCGATACTGGAGGGCGGCACACAACAGCAGGCGTCCGCTTTGCCGTGCAGATTTTTCTGGCCTCCACCTGCACCTGAGGAAACAGAGGAGAGAGGGGTGATCCCCATAGCTGGAGCTTCCACCACCCTGTGCCAACTGCYCCCTTTCCATGCTGCATCTGGGAAAGCAGGGAGTTACAGGAGCAGGCAGATGAAATGCACACCAGCAAGACATGCAGTGTTGGGAATGGCATGGCATCACCGCAGTCCCCTGAAGCTGCTCCCACCTTGGTGCAGGCAGGGTAGAGGCAGACAGAGGCTCTGCCCATGATGGAGCCCACCAGGTGTGGTACAGCTGGGCCTGACTGTGCCATACAGCTTCTCCCTGGCACTGCTGACCAAGCCATCACGTTTGGGTGGCTACTGAGACAGCAGGCACTGCTGTCCATCCCTGCCAGGCCCACATGCTCCAGGCAGTAAAGCAATGGATGCAAGGGCAGCAACTGAATGCAGATCCTTCCCATCTTCTTCCTTGCAGACTCTCTCCTGGGCTTCCACAGCTGCAAGAGTCTACAGGAGCTGGAGCAGCRTCCCCCTGTACCCATTAGGCTGGGTGGTGCCCATTACCAAAACCCCTCTGGCRGTCTGACAGTCCCTTGCCCTGCCTCAGTGCCCTCTGTCCTCCTGCCCTTGGGCTACTGAGCCTGGCTGCCCTGGGGGCTCCTCACACACAGACCTTCACACAAGCCCTGGAGTAACAAATAGATGCAAACCCCAACAAATTACCAGACTCCCAGCCCAGGGTTACAARCCAAGCAACCTGGAGACCCCCACCCCTGCAAAACGTGCACCTCACGCAGCCCCAGCCACCCTCGTCCCCTTCGGTCGGCTTCACAAGGAACTGCTGCTGCCCCATGGCAAAAGAGCAGGGAGGCTCTCMCACTGGCCACAGCTAGCCATGCCTCTCATGGCCACCAAAACCACTTAAATGGGGATCAAACTGCAGCAAGCCCTGCCTGAGCCCCCTCCTTACATATCCCAGCACCCACACTCTGCATCTCACAGCACCAAAAGGGTTTTCCCTCTCCTGATGGACCACTGCCAACAGGGCACAGTGGCATGTCCAGGAAGGTTGGTGACAAGCAGGTTCATGTCATGCAGCCACTCTGCCCAACATGCAGCCTCCCCCAGAATGTTACCTCTTCCACCAGCTGGCGAGGTGGCTTTCTTTTTCGCTTTAAACTACCCCAAGTGTTTCCTAAAAGCCCCTGGCAACGCTTCCAAAAGGTTTTACAGCCTGAGTGTTTAGTGGCAGGGAGCTGAGCAAGGGGAGAGAGAGAGACACAGAGTTGAGGGCAGAGCAGGCAAGGAGCTGCAGCAGGAGAGCGCAGGCAAAGTGGGTGGCGCAAGCTGCCCTCACTCAGCATCAGCATGGCCAAAGGCCCCTCTCCTGAGACTGACACAGCCCCAACAGCTCACTGAGAAACAGCCTGGATGGGTCCCAGTTTGGGGGTCACCCCGCAGCCCTCACAGCCCAGGGCACAGCTCCRGAGAGCTGCCCCAGCCGTGTGGCTGCTTGCCCGTGGCTCTGCCAAAGCYGCCCACCATCCCCACGTACCGGTGGCACTGCCTCCTCCCTTGGCCGCTCGCTGCCAACCGCTGGCTGTGCCTTCTTCTTGTCGCCCTTTCTGCCAATGCTGAGGATGAGGTTGACTGTCCCCCCCAGACCGCAGGGGCCCTGTGGTGGCAGCAGCAGTGTGGAGGTCTCGGCAGGATCCCAGGTGGCAGCCTCCTTTGGGGATTCTGCACTGTGGGATGTTTTGCTGCTGGGCTCCCTCCAGCTCTGCTCCACTCCTGATGGAGCATCTGAGACGGGTGATGCCAGTGGGGAAATGGCTGTTTTCCCTGGAAGCTGTGGCTCCAATTTTTGCACAGGCTCGAGGAGGGAGCAGGGTATGAACTTCACTGGGCTRTGGATGTTTTCCAAGTGGGGTGGAGCACACAAAGCATGCTGCTCCTGGGGAGCAATGCAAGAGAGAGAACGTGAAGGAAGGGAGTCCAGGAAATGCTGGAGCCAGCCATTTTTTCTCAGGACAGCCTTCCCTTTGCCCTGTCTGAAGCCCAGAGACTCCCAGAGGTATTAGCACACATCCCTCCCTCCCCTGCTTCTGMACCACTCTCTCCATCCAATGCCTCTGCTACCCTCAGCCTTGAGGCTGGCCATGCTCCCCAACAGTCTCAACATGGCTGAATACTTACTTGACCCGTGGGGGACGTGCTTGAAGAACTCTCAGGGTCCGKCCTGTCCTGCTGTCTGCTCCCCAGATCCTGCTGGTGCCTCTGTGCTCGCCAGCGCACCAGCACCCAGCCCAGCATGCTYTGCAGCTCTTCCAATCGCTCCTTTATCTGAGGGGAGGAGAGATGCTGGACAATCTGCCAGGACCCCTGGCCCAGGGACACTGGCCTTACAGGGTATCTCACTACAGAGCAGTTTAGGAGGGTTTTGGGAATGGGATACAATCACAGTCAGCTCAGGTCTCAGCATCCACTGCTGGATGAAACTCYTTCCTGCCCTGAGCAGGAATGCATCCCCAGGGATGCAGAACTGTTCCCATCCCACTTGCCGGGGCTCTGCACCTGCACCTCCCTCTTTCCTTCATGGTCTGTCCCCAGAGGATTTCTGGGGGTGCTGGGAATTTTCCCCCGGCCCTATTTCCCATCCTTACTGTTGCACTCAGGTAGTGCTCCTCAGACACCAGCTGCTGCCCCGCTGCTGCCAGTGCCTCAAACTCCTTGAGCTTCTCTTCAATCCTCCTCTCCACTTCCTCACATGGAGTCTCCAAGAGGCTGGAGCTGCTTGGGCTTTCAGAGAAGATCTGAGCCCGTGTGTCCTCTGTCCAGGAGCTGTAGGCATGTGAAATACAGGCTGAGGAATGATCCAACCCTCCTTCAGCCCTGCAGGCCCTGGGGAAGCCATTCCCATGCTCAGGGATAGCTGGAAGCAGCTGGCTGTGCGTGTGGCAAGACTGTTCAGGCAGGGCAAGGCACTGTGGGGCTACATCAGACAGCCCTGGTGCAACCCCGCATTCCAGGCTCCCCATGGTCATGCCTGGCTGCAGCTCCAGCACTGCCCACAAATTTGCCAATGCCATGTTCTCACCAGCTCCCCCTCAACCACCACAGAAGCAACCCCAACAGCTCACTGTCACTTACATCATGGCCAAATAGTCCTTGAAGAAGTGCCGCAGCCGGCCAGCCTGCTGCACACGGAGCCGGGTGTCCCGCAGCAGCTCCTGCAGCTCTGCCCAGGCCCACAATGCCTCCTGCACCTCCCGGCTGACGGGGCACTGCCGAGMGGGGCACAGCTCTTGCAAGTGGGCAGCTGCCCTCTCCAGCTCCTCCAGCTCCCTTTGCAGGGTCTGCGACACTGCATGCTAAAGATCACAAGGCAGAAAAGGTTGGAGAGGCATCCAACCCCTCTGAACCCAGGCTGAACTCTCCCGCATTCTGGGATGCAGGGGCAGAGGGGAGGATGCTGGTGYGTGGGCTGCAGGGAGTGGGCAGAGCCAGCCTCAGTGAGGAGCACAGAACTGCCTGGCTTCCCTGCTCCACGTGCTTCCGCAGCAGCGGGAAGATGTGTCAGGTGCTGGCAGCCGGGTGCTGGCACATGGGAACTGATGCAAGCTCTGTCCCCTTGCCTGGCCCATGCTAGCAGAGGGGAGCAGAGCCGGCAGGTCTCAGCTCCGCTGGAAAATTCCAGCCCAGCCTGCCACAGTGTTACAAGGCTTACGACACCTGGGCCCCTGGAGGGGAGCCAGTGCCTCCCTGGGACAGCCCCAGCCAGCCGGGACAGCTCCCTGCCAGTGCKCCCCTGACTCACCTCCATCTCCTGTTGGCGGCTCAGCAAGCCCTGCAGCCCCTGGAGGTCCTTCTCACTCTTCACCGTGGTGAAGCTGTTCTCTGCTTGGGCAATGTCTTGAGCCAGTGCCTTGGCTCTGCACTGAAGGGCCTCCAGCTGCGGGGATACCTCTGCCACCTGGGCAGGCGGGAGAGGACACAGAGGGAGATCAGCCCCAGGGTGGAACTCCCTGTGCTACCCCTTGCCCCACAGCCCCAGGCCACCTCAGCCTGGGAACACCCTGCCATGCACCTGCAAAAGGGCAGGTGCCAGCCACATGAGAGACAAGGACACAGCCTSGCACAGAGTGGTCTCCATGTATCCCAATGCCCTCGTGTCCCACTGGGAACAGCTGAGGTTCGTGCCCTGTCCCAACCAGCTGGCATGTCCAGCTGCAGGTGAACCACCCAGTTACACCCCCTGCCTCCATCCCCTACCAGACGCTCCAGGCTCTCCGTCTCTGCTGCCACCTCCATGACGCGCTCCCGCTCCTTCGCTGCGTCGTTCAGCATCTCCACGGCCTCCTGCAGCTCTCCCAAGGGGCGGCTCATGTCCTCACTGCTCGGAGACTGCTCAGCCTGGGCTGAGAGCAGGGGAAAAGTCCCCTGCGAGCCGCAACACCCGCTCCCTGGCTGAAGCCAGCAGAAACACCAGGTGTAAGAGAGATGGGGAGGGACCCCAGGCAGTTGGGCTGGAGAGGAGCACCCAACAGGGTCCCCTTGCCAACCACAGATCAACCCTCAGTCCGCTCCCAGGTGCTGTATGATCCCAAGGGGTGCCACATTGCTCACCGCTGCAGATCCCTGCTGGCTCCGTGCCTCCTCCTCTTGCAGGTCCTGCAGGAACTCAGACAGCACCAGGGAGTCCCGCAGATCTGCTGCCCGGTGCCGCAGGGCTGCCTGCACGTGYGCCAACCTGTGGGGACAGGTGCCCATCAGGGGTGCTGGCAGCCTCTGCACTTCCTTAGGGTCAGCATCCTCCTCCCCCACCCATCCAGGGGACCAGAAAGAGACACCTTTCCCCAGGACTCACTTCTCCTCCACCATCTCCACTTTCTTCTGCATCTTCCTTGCACCCTCGTGGTCAGGGGGYGACTCGCCTGCTGCTTCCTCCCGCAGTGCCTGCAGCTTGAGGCCACACAGCAGGAGCTGCTTCTCCAGCCGGCCCATCTCTTCCAGGTCCTGGCGCAGCTCTGCTGGGCTTCTCATGGCAGCTGGTTCCAGGAGTGACCCAGCCACATCTTGCAGCCACCGCTCAGCCTGGTCCAGCTCCCCCACCAGCCTCAGTGCCTTCAGAGAGAGCAGGGAACCCATCAGCCTGGCTCTGAGCCAGCCAGAGGAGGCAGGAGCCATGCTGGCATCCTGCTGTGGGTACCTGGAGCACTGGCAGTGTGGGCAGCACAGCTGGAGCAGCGTACAAGCTGCAAGACCAGCCAGAGACAACGGTGCCAGTGTTGCACTCCAGTTCCCAAGGGTGCCAGCCTCGCTTACTGATCCCAGCAAGCTGCTGCACTCAGAGCATGCCCTATGCCCACCCCAGCCCTGCCTCCAYGTACCTTATCGATTTCTCGCAGCACTACGCCGTTCTCCTGGTGCTTCCTCTGCAGGTCCTCCCACAACTCCCCCAGTTCCCGCAGCATGGCTTCCACCTGAAGACTCTCCGGAGGTCTCCCTCGCACTGGCCCCTCCTGGGAGGCAGGGAGGGCAGTTATCATGGGCCCCACCTGGTGTTCTCCCCCCACCTCACATCCAAACAGGCTCACCAGGAGCACAGTCCTGCCACTGGAGTTGGGGGCCAGGGGCTCTTGCTGCATCCGTGCTGTCTCCAGGCTYTCCACTGGTCGTGAGGGGACTCTTGTACCCACACTGTCCTTGTACGGGGACAGAGCCTGCCGAGGAGCAGAAGTGCCAGATTAATGCCCACACCAGTGAGCATGCAYGAGCATGCATGCCCACAAGCAGCAGGAGGGTGTCAGGGAAGTGAGTTCTTCCCCAACACTGCCTCCTCTCGGATGGGCAGGGAGCAAAGGSGACTCTTGGGCAGACATTACCGCATTCACCACCTGGGAGACGTCCTGCACTTGGGACTCCAGCTGCCGCATCCCCCACTCAGCCTCTGCCTCTCTCGTCCTCCAGCAGAGAGAGGACAGGGACAGTCAGGACTGCAAGGTTCCCCCTTGCACAGGGGAGCCCCATCCCTGTCTCCTCTGACTCTGTCCCACTCCCACATACCACCTCCACAAGCTGGTACCTTTTGTTGTCCCCTCCACGATGGGGTTGTCCCCCAGCTGGTGAGCCAGAACTGCTCTGCTCTCCTTTCTTGTGCTCTGCCATCTCCTCCAGCACATCTTTTGGCATCTGTGACACAAAGGTTCCCATTCCTCCTTAGCCAGCACAAAGCACACACTGCTTTGCCGTGAGCCTGGCACTTATCACTGCCCATACTGGTGGGACCAGATCCAGGAGCATTCAGCTCGGACTTTGCCCAACACCTGAACCTCTTTCCCTTAGGCTCCCTTGTCTTCTCRAAGCAGAAGAGCCAAAGATACCTGGGCGAAGACAGTGCTTACCACGTTCCCAAGTCCTCTTGCCCGTTTGGCTGCTGTTTCCTTCCCCACAGCCCCATGACTGCTATCATCTCCTCGGGGCTCAACATTTGGAGCCGAAGCTTTGCCCCTCGGGGAACTGCTTGCCCGTGTTGGAGCCTTCTCTGTCCTGGGAAAGGAAGGTAAGGGAGACCCAGGGGAGCAGAGGATGAAGAGAGACCTTAAGCGGAGCTGGCGCCCCAGAGACAGCCTTCCAGGAGCTAACCCAGGTCTTCCCCAAGCCTCTGTCTCCAGTGCTGCAAAGTCAGGGTTGGGGCCCTGGTGCTCCTGCCCGGCTGTGCCCTACCTCAGTGCCTGCTGGAGCTGTGCCCAGCTCTCCTTTACGTCGCGGTGCTTTGAGGTGACTCGGGCTGCCAGGCTGGGCTGCAGGTTTAGGAGTTGGGACACCGTCACATCCAGCATCTGGAGAAGAGAGAGCAGCTGGGAAGTGATGGGGACAGGGTTCATGAAGGGTGAGCGAGCATGGCCACGGGGCAGGTGTGTGMTGACAACGTACCACCGGCCCTGCAGGGGTAGGAGGGGCAGCCACTGCTGATCCCGGTCCTCTGCTGCCCCTGGGGAGACTCCCCACCCATCACACAGCCTCAGCCACCCACAGAGCTGTGGGATGCCCACAGAGGTGGCAGAGCTGACCTGGGAAGGCACACACCCCCCCTCTGTCAGGATGCTCCCCAGGGCTCAGAGGACAAGGCAAAGTCTTGCACTCACCATCACCTGGCTGGCCATGTCCCTGACATCCCGATCCTGGCACAGCTCACTGTCCCCTGGCTTCCCTGCACGGCACATGCTGCTCTGCTGTAACAAGAGGCCATGGTCAGCAGCAGGAGGAGCACAGGATGTTGCTCCCAGCTCCAACAGAAAGAAACAGTGCAAAGCTGCACTTGCCAACCTGACTCCCTTCCCTTCTGCAAACCCCAGGCTGAGAGTGCTGGGACCACAGGACCSTCCATGCTGGGGATAAGAGCAAGGTGCTCCCCACCAAGTTTCACTCAGGCCATGCAACAGCCCTGCAGGGCAGGGTGAAGCTGGCTCCAGTGCAGATACCTTTGCATGGATGGCCCCAAGCAGGATGTCCGCCTGCTGGAAGAAGGAGGCCACCTCCAGGGCCAGCTGCAGAGCCTCGTGGTGCTCCTTCAGGGTCCCCTGCAGCCGCAGCCACCTGTGCAGGTGGAAGGGAAAGGTGAGTGGCAGTCCATGCCTGTCTGGGGAGCTGTGCAGAGCTAGGCCAGGAAGTTTGGGGGGGTCCTGCTTCTCAGCTGGTCAGCTCCTGGTGCCCAGCTCAGCCCCGCTCAGCCCACGCGTCCTCCACTCACGTTTTGTTGAGGTGCTTGCGCCGGGCTGATATGTTCCTGCTCTCACTTTTGCCTTGTTTCTCCAGCTTCTGGGCCAGGCTGTTCAGCTCCTTGTGCAGACTCTGGAACTGCTGCTCCTCCTGGCCCAAGCAGAGAGAGAAGACATCAGCATCCCTCCTCAGGGACCCGTGCCATGCTCCAGCCTCGAGGTGTTTGGCGTCCCTGACGTGCTGCAGCCCTGCAACATCCGCTCACCTGCTTCAAGTCAAGGATGCGGCGGGTGAGCTGGATCTTGTCTGGGTTTTCCTGCAGGAGGGCTGCCAGAGAGGGCTTCTCCTCCTGGGCCAGAGAAGGGTGTGAGAAGTGGGGAGAGAGCCAGGGCATCCCCTTCCCCAGACTGTACTTCCCAGCCCGCACACCTTGTGCTTGATCCACGCCTCCAGTCGCTCGGCTTTCCTGTTAAAGTCCTGCAGGCTCCGCAGTCCCCCCAGGGCTTTGCTCTGGCTGGCAGCTGTTTGCTTCAGGAGCTGCCACTGCTCCTGCAGGGCCAGCAGCTGTCTCCGCACTGCCTCAGCACTGGGGCTTGCCCTCCACATCAGCTGCTCACCCATCTGTGGGGCCAAGGGACCCACTCAGCGTCAGGGGGTCCYGGGGACCCTCTGCTGCAGAGAACCCAGGGACACAGGTGCTGTGGGCAACAGGAGCCACGCCATACCATGCCATGCCCGGCCTCACCTGACTGAGCTTTATCAGCGTGTTCTCAAAATCCTTCATGTCCCGCTGCAAGGTCTGAGCCACCTCCTCCCAGTCCTGGAGGTCACAGCCATCCTTCAGGTCCCGCAGCTTGCCCCGCACCCAGCCCTCCGCCTGCAACATACGAAGAGCCACAGGGCTGGGGGCCTCCACCAGAGCCTCAAGGACACAGCTTTGGGGAGCCAAGCCCAAACCTTCCCRACACTGTGACAGGGACTGGACTGCACCCTTTCAGCTGACAAGCCATTTGCTCCGAGAACCAACAGGCCASCACAGGCACTCGGGACAGCATCTGTGGCAATGGGGGTGTGAAGGTGTGCAGCAACTCTCTTCTCCCAGCAGGAGAAGCTGGGCTTGCCCAAGCAGGCCGGTCTGCACACAACATCCCTGCACAAAGCATCTCTCCTCGCTGCTCCCTGCTCCCCAGAGCAAACGTCCTTGCATTCTTCCCACTGTGGCATGGAAGCAGCCCTCCCACCATCTCAGTTCCCATGCTGCTGGGGAGGGACAGGGTCTGAGAGGAGGAGGAGAACGGGGGACGGAAGGAGCGTGCGCACACGGAGAGGAAGCAGGGCCCTGGTGTGGGCTGACCCCCTCTCCTGGGGCTGACAGCCAGGGAGAGGCAGCCAAACATGATCTCATGCCACAACCACGGCTTCACTTGGGCYGGGAGTTCAGCCCTCCCTGCTGCGCACCCCACCCCACAGCTCACATGAAAGGCTGCCGGTGGCTTTCCAGCCCACTTCCTGTGCAGCCCCTTGGGTGAGTGCCCCAGCTGGCCCTACCTGCAGCATCTCCCGGTTGAACTGGGCTATCAGAGGACTCAGGTCGGGGATAAGGGCTGTTCCCACGCCGCTTCGCCCACTGTGTCTTGGTGCTGCAGCAGATTCCTTGCCCTTAGGGCTCTCTTTCTGGGGTGATGACATGGGGGATCCTGCCAGCTGTGGGGAGCAGAGTGGTGTGAGGGGTATCAGTGTGCTGCCCCAGGGATGAGCCCTCCTGATCACCTCCCTGGAGCATTTCAGAAATCCAAATAAAGTAGGCCAGCATGCCTTATTCTTGATCCCACTCCTTCACTGACATATTTGGGGGTCTCCTCCAGCACAGCGAGGCAACACTTTCCTCTACCAAGGTGACACTGGTGGCTTTTGCAACTCCAGCAGGGGGTTGCTGGGCTGGCCCTCAAGAGGATGTCAAGTGGGTCACTCCATGGGTCATTCCAGGTGGGATGGCACCAATCACCTGGGCTGGCTCCCACACCCACACTGCAGATGGATGCAGCACTTGCTGCCCCTCTAGCCTACGGCTGTGCACCCCTGAGGTGAGRAGCATTCATATCTGTAGCATCCATTTGGTGTCGCCCAGGGAGATGCTGCCAGGGAATGGAATGGAGCGGCCATAGGGCAGGTCCCTGCTAAACCTCACCATGCTTTTGGTGGCACCCAAGAACCCCATCCCCAGTGAGAGGCTGGAGGGGGCAGAGAGTGCAGCATTTCCCYGGGGTCTTGGCCTTGTGGGCAGTCGACAATGACGAAACATTCTGTCAGAGTTCCAGCTCTGCCCGGGGTTACAGCRAAGGTCAGCCAGTGAAAGTGCTGGCCCTTCTCCAAACTCAGCCCTGGGCCCAGCTGCACATAGCCCAGGGGACAGCACCGTCACGCGGGCACTCGCTTCCCACCCTTCTGCCCAGGGATGGGGATCTGACTGCGTACTGACCAGTGGCAAACAGGAAACAGAGCATTTTCAGGAGGSACCCAAAGGTGCAAGGGTTGCTGCCTCCTCTCAGCAGGCAGAAGCTGCTGCTGGGGCCAGCCTGGCACAGCCCTTCCTCCGTGAGAGGGCTGGCTGTGAGCTGCCCCACAGGGTCCCACCTACCCCCAAGCCCACCAGGGAGCAATTTTCCAGGAGCCGGCTGAGCAGTAGAGTTCGAACAAGTGTTTCAGGCTCTCTAAGCACTCTGGCATGTGCTGCCCTGCTGACAGCATGGTAGTCACTTTCCAATGCCTGTTCTATTTAACCACAAGAACTACAGAAATCCTCTGTCTTTTTTTTTTTTTTTTTTTTTTTTTTTTTAAATAGCAGCACAGATTCTCAGGCCCTCCTGTGACTCTGTGGTCTTTAGTCTCTTGACTGGCCAGGGCTGGAGGAGCCCATGATCTGGCTCCCTTGAAGCAATAAAACCTCTGGGTGCTGCCTGGAGGGCTGATCCCTTGCCCCATCATGCCCAGCACTCMCTGAAAGAGGCTCCATCCACACCTGGGCACACCACCAGCACTGCTCACCACTGTGGTGCCCCTAATGTTGAGGACAGGGGGACCTACCGCATAGAAGGGAGAACATCTGTCCACAGGAGAGCAGAAAACACTGGCCTGAAGATTCCCAGGCTCCTGCTGCTTGTCCTCCACATCCACGAGCTTCCTGAGGAAGACCTAGAGGCAGAAAGGCACAGCTGTGAGCCTGGTAGCGCTCAACCATCCCAGCAGCCAAGGTGGACAGAGGAGCATTCCCCCAGCTCCCCCGGGCCAGAGGCAGCTGCTGGCAGTAGCCAGACACTCCTTAGCTGGGCTCTTGCCCATCCCTCCTTACACAGCCAGGCCAGGCTCCTCTCAACAACATCCACAGCTCCCACCACGTGCTCAGCAAGTGGCAAGAGCTCCTAAGCCTGCTTTGCTTAGTGCCTTCTCCATTTTAGCTCCCACGCACACTTTTCCCCCCTTGAATTGACTCCAAAGCCAGCAGAAACCCATTTAATAAACATCACTGGTCCCTGGCCATCTCAGGGTGCTCAGAGCGAGACTCCTCTGCCCTCTCCCGGGGCAGCAGAGCAGAGAAACGAGGGCACAAGATGACATTAGCTCCATCWTCATGAACCTGAATCCTCTCAGCCCAGCCAGGAGACAAGAGTTGAGGGGGCAGCTGSCTTGCAGGGAAGGGCTTCCAAAGGACAGGGATGAGGGTGGAAGCAGGAGAGGCAGAAGGAAGGAAGTCCAGGAACTGCAGCCAGGCACAGAGAGAATGTCCAGGACGAACTCCAAATTACCTTATCTTTGATGCAGCCCAGCCCCAGGGGGAGAGGTGCGTGGGATTGCTTGGATCATATTCAAGGGCATTAAGCCTCCTTCTCTACAGATGGATCTTTTCTTGGGCTGTTGGCTCCAACAGGCCAATTCAGGGACCTCCTTCCACTCCCTCCCTGGGACCACCTCTCTGTTCCTGTATCAGCCATCTAATCATGCACAGGGCAACACAAACAGGGTGCAGGATCAGCCAGAGCCAGAGCCAGCCTACCRCTGCTCAGGCCACTCCAAACTGTCCAAGGGAAACGAACCCAGGCAAATCAAAACTCCCTCCTTGCAGAGAACATGACTTCCCACCAATTCTGCAGGACTTCAGAAGAGTCCTGACAAGAATGGCAGCCCTCAGCCCTAGAGCTGCTGCTACCAAAAAGGCTCAGAGCCCCCCAAGCAGCCTAACAGTCCTGTAAGTCCTTGGGAACAGCACCACGGGATCTTTCCAGAGGCCTGCAAAGCCTGGCTGGTGGCTGCAGAGGACAGACCACTGCCACACTTCACAGCACCCCATCCCAAACAGGAAGAACAGGCAGGGTACAAGGCTGAATCACAGCCCAGAAGGCACAGTGAGAACTCATGAGGATGATATCAGAAGGGGAAGGTCAGCCCCTTGCCTGACCACGGGGCTGAGGGGTTTGGATGCATATTTCGGGAATGATAGGGAGCTAAATATGAAGCGCCTGTGGGGCACAAGACCATAGAAAGTCCCTCTTCTAGGCAGTAATGTCTCACGCCGGCCCCCAGGGCTCAGCCGTGGGAGACAAGCCCGCAGGTGACACGGGAGCTTTATTTAAAGTCCCTGTCTCACGATCCGTCAGCCGCAGGAAAACAGGCCTGCCAGCACAACGATGACTTCATCCTTCCCGCAGAGCTGCTCCACCGGGACTGCCCCCCCCCCTCCTCGGTCCCTCTGGCTGGAGCTGGGTCCTCGATCCGGCAAAACAACAAACTCCCAGCAGCCCAAGTCTGGGAGAAGRAGCTGTGCCGGCCTCAGCATCCATGAGGTACAGAGCTAAATGCTCCCYAGCGGGACCCCAGGCTTCACAACAGGAGCAAAGCCACACGTGAAACGAGTGCAGCAGCCTCAGCTGCCGCCTCTGCAAACACATCTTTCCCTGTCTAAAAGCAAAATTACCACAGCACATATGCTTGCCTCATTCCCATAGAAAAATAGGCGCCGCTGACTTCCCACAAACAAGAAGAGCGGGGCCGGACCCTCCTAGGAAGCACTGCACTCATCCTGGAGGAGCCCCTCATTCATTCCTACGGGGCRGGAGTGAAGGGCAAATCCAAGCACTGTGGGGCACGTTTGGGAAAGCACTACTGTCTTCCATGTGGGAAACTGGAACTCCAGCTGCCATCGCACATGTTCTCCCCTGTGCCCCGGCTTCCTCTTTCCCTCCCAAAGCTCCATCTTGCAGCCTGCCCACCTCTTTCAGCACCACACGCTCAGGCTGGACAGGGAGGAGTGGCCGATCCTGGCAGCCTCCCGAGAGTCCCACACCGCCGTGCCCAGCACGTGTCCCTACCTTATATGAAAGAGGGGAGCCCTCATGCCGATCCCCCTTGGGCTGCGCAGGCTCCGGCCGCCCAGCGAGGAGCTGCTTGCGTGCCGGAGGAGCCAGCACCTCTTGCGAGACTGTGCCTGGCCTTTATTGGCAATGAAGATGAGGGTTTTGGCAATGGGCTGTGCGGCTCTCCCGAGCGCTATCCTGCCGGGAAACCAGCTGTTGCAGGTCAGGGTTAAATCCCAAGGAGTTCCTGCCTGCTCTTGCCAGAAACGGAGACGTCTCCGAGCTGCCTTCCGCCCCATCCCACCCACAGGGGGTCTCCCGGGCTCTGGCACTGTTGAGTTGGGACCTCTGCGCCTGCTAGCGCTCAGACTTGCAGGGCAGGGTGCCGAGAGCCCTGGGTCCCGCTCCTAGCCTTGTCCCAGCTTTGCCTGGCTGTGTGGCCCTTCATGAGTCACTTCCCTTCTCCCATTCTCCGTTTCCCCTCTGGTAAACGAGAGAGTGAGTTCCTAGCTCCCCGCACACAACTGCATCATCACAGGCATCCCGAAAGCTGAGCCCTCCACAGTCAGGCTCCGGGGCAGGGCTTCTCTGGCTCATCTTAGCCCCGGGGAAAGCTCACCTCCGCTCATCCGCGAAGACTTCCTGCCCTCCAGACTGATGGTACAGAGAAGTGCGTGGGGSGCACATGAGAGGAAAAACAACTACCCCAGGGGTCCTGCAGCGAATGCTGCCTGGACGGCATGGGGACAAGGCGACAAGGGTGGGCGCAGCCTTCCCAGGACCTACCCATCCGCTGGCAGCGAGGAATGGAGAACTGCAAGGCACAGAGTACCGGGATCGCTTACCTTATACTGAGTTTTCCCTGTCCTGCTGTTGTTGTTGTTGTGGTTCCTCTCGCCGCCGGCCCGGGCAGGATCCCCGGGTCCCCCTGCGTCCCCCGTGCCAGCGTCCCCGTACCAGTTGGACAGCGTKATCTTCTTAATGGAGCGGGCTAGGGAGTTGCGGTTCAGCCGGTCCTCGTCGGTGCCCCCCTCGTCACCGGGACTGGAGCTGCGGGGCTGTCCCGCGGGGGCGGCGGGGCCGGCCCGGGCGTGGGCCAGGTAGAGGGAGATGCGCTCGTTGATGSTGCGCCGGAGGCCGCGGTGGCTGTCCAGCGCGGAGGCGAGGGCGATGCCGGGGCAGGCGTCTCCGGGGAAGTCGGCGGCACACTTGGGCAGCGAGAGCCTGGTGCTGATGGTGAAGGGCTGCACCTTCCTCGCCGTGCTGCCCGACATCCTCACCCTCCTCGCTGCCGCCTGCAGTGGGGTGAAGCGGCGGTGCGGGGCCCCCGCCGCCCGGGACAGCGGGTGATGGAGACGGCCCGGGCGGCGCCGGCTCCTTCCCCGGGGCGGACGGGGGCGCTCAGYGGCGGGGCGGCCCCGCGGCGGGGGACAGCGGGGCGGGGGGCGGCCCAGCAACCATGGCCGGAGCGGCGAAACGCGGGCGGCCGTCCGGCCTCGGCTGCCTGGGCGGACCCTCCGCCCCCGCCGGGACGCGTCCCCTCCCCTGCCCGGTCCCTCCTCCCGCGGCGGGCCGGGGAGGCGGGAGGAGCYGCCGCGCCCTGCCCTGCCCTGCCCCGCCGGGTCCGTCGCGTCCCGTCCCTGCCCGTGGCTGGCCGGCTTCAGTCGTCCGCCTTCCTGCGCAGGTTGAGGAGGCAGAGCAGGCAGGTGAGCAGGGCCTGGCGGCTCTCCCGGGAGCGCAGCCGGCGCCCCAGGCGGCGGAGCGGCGGCAGCAGGCGCCGGCGGGCCAGCGGCAGCAGGCGGACGAGCAGGGCGCGCAGCAGCGGGGCGGCCAGCGGCGGGGCGGGCATGCTGCCCCCAGAGCCTGCGGGCACGGCTTCACAGCCCCGGCCGACCTGCACTAGCGGACGGTGCCCGGCAGCTCCTCACGTTGTGGAATGTCCGAGCTGAGCGGGATGTTGGGGGGTCCGCACCCCSCTAAGAGCGGGGTCCGGCTTGGGGAAGTTTCGAGGGAGAAGCACTGCAGGAGGCTCCTTCCCGCCTCTTGCCCTGGTCACTCTTACCCTGTTTGGGATCCTTCCTRCTCAGAGATACCGCTCAGCACTTTCTCCCAGAGCAGTGTGCACTGCTCAGCTTCCCCAACGCAGACCTGCCACCAGCCCAAATGGATTCCAGGAGCAAGGGAGTTCCAGAGCAAGGGACAACACAAAACCCCAGCTGTTCATTTAAATGCCCCCTCCTCCCAGGCCAGACACACACTCCCCGTAAGTGATACTGTTTTGCAGCCGAGGCCCCATTTGTCGGGGTGGCAGTGTAGGGGAAAGAAGGGGGGCCGGGGACGATCAACATCTGCCCACCACAGAAATGTGGGCTGGCAGGGTGGGGACCACAGGGCTTTGCCAGAGCCCCTGAGCAGGCAGCTGAATCCAAAATATGCTTGCCTATGATTCCCTGGCAGTGCCAGCAATTGTCACCTGCTCACATAAGGGCCAGGAATGCAGACCTTGTGAGCCAACAAGGAGAGTGGGAAAGGGATGGCCCAAGGCATAATGTGCTGAGGAGCAGTTGGGTGTTCCCCTGAGAAAGAACTTTGTTGTGGCTCCATGCCTGGCTCCAGAGCAGGATGGTAAGAAGTGCCCTGCACTTTCCAGCTGTGTCCCAGTGCTCCCATCCTGAGCTAGCTTGGGGCAAGGAGCCAGGGGAGCACAAGCTAGCCAGGGGGAGGGTGCAGGCAGGAAGGTCTATGGTCACGTCTGTGCCCTTCCGCTTCCCTCCTGTGTCTAACCTTTGTTTTGTTCCTGATGGCTGTCTGTCTTCATTTCCTCCCCTTGTTGTTCCCATCAAAAACCCTGCCAAGGCCCTACTCTTGGCTCTCACTCAAGAAGAATTTCRGAGAATGAACAGACGTGAGGGACCAAAAGCTACTGCTCCATTTGCATGCCTGCCTGCTGTAAGCTGTCCCTTGCCCAGTGAGTCCCATCCAAGGCTGGTTAGTTTAGCCAGGGTGACCTTTCCCAGCCCCACAGATTCCTCTCAGGGAGCCAGCCACAGATGAGGAAAACAGGCTGGCTGTGTCTCAGCACAGGGACATCATGTGCTTAAAGCAGAAACAGCTCCCCGACGGCCCCAGAGCTTTAAGGACCCGGGCTGATGTCAGCCCCTTGGGACTGGCCTCCCGGAGGCTCCAAGGCTCCCTGTCCACTGTGGTCAGAGGCCGTGGCGCAGGCGCAGGGCTCCGCTGTGCATGGCTGCCAGCCCTGTGCTGGCCGCCCTAGGGGAGCGGGAAGAGCTCCGATGAAGGAAGCAGCAGCCAAAGCTTTGCGGTAGCTACGTCAGGATTTACATTTCCCTGGGAGGGAGCTTCTCCCACTTAATTAGGGAGGTAGCGGGTGCAGTGCTTGGCCTGCACTTGAGACTCCTGGGTTCGCTGTGCTGCGGCTGATCCTGAATAAGCCTTTCTTGGTGCCTCGATTTCCCCAGCAATACAGTGGCACTGGGAATATCCTCTCCCTGTGCAGAGGGCCGTTGCAGCACCCTACCTCTGAGCAGGCTGGGGAGCACTGGGATGAAAAGTGCAGCATCCCAGGTCAGTGTTAGTGATGACAGTGACAGAGGATAGAGGACATCTTATTCCCTAAGGAGCCTTTTCCTAGAAAAAGCCCTGCCTGAGCTGGGGGAAGTGATCACCCTACCATCCCTGCTGGGGGAATCCTATCCTCCAGTCCCATGGGGAAACAGAGGTGCTGGCCAGGTGCAGCGATATTGCAGCACATTCCTGGGAGCWTTGCCTCTGAGTGTTATGTTGTACCTGAGTGTAATGTTGCTGAGACACACAAGGGAGGGGATGGAAAATTTTTTGGGAACAAAGGTGCTCTAGTGTGTGGCCTCTGCAGAAACCTGTTTCTTGCCAGGGAAAGAATGCAGGAGGCTCTCACCCTGCTTTAAGAGCCAGATACTTGCAACATCCCAGCACTGGGCAGAAGGTGGAGCAGGGCCGAGCTCCTGGGACTCACAGAAAGGCAGATTTTTGCCTCTTGCCAAAAATGCAGAAATCTTGCCAAGTCGCTTTCCCCATCTGGAAGGTCAGGGTCTTTATCCTCCGTTCACAATTGGGCAAAAGTACAGGCCAGGGAGCTGAAGGGATGTAAACTTGCTCCTCTGTCGAGTCAGGCACAGAGCCGGGAAGAGAATGCAACCTTGAAAGAAAACAAAATTGCACCAGTATCTACTTCCAAAGGCAAGATTTAGGGCAGCAGAGTCCTGCCCGTGTGTTTCCTGGGCCAAGGCACGTAGAACCTTGCTGTACTTCTCTGATCCATGGAGGACTTTCTGGTCCTGCAATCACTGCTTTGCCTTTCAACACTTTTTCTTGTCTATGTTTCATCCCTTTCCACCAGGAGACTCAGAATTCCTCACCAGATGGTTGGCTTATGTTTTGCTGGGTACATGTCAAGACCACTTTCTTGCAGGTACTCACAGGGTGGCCTGTGCTGGCTTTGCCTGTTGTGTGACCTCCCAGCAYCCAGCCTGCTTCCAGAACAGCATCTCTGCTCTCTGGGAGGGCAAGACCCTCATGCCATCTCAGAGGCAGGCACAGGGCAACCATTGGCATCTGCCGATGCTTCGAACAGGCTGTTGTATGATAAAATCTCCAAAGGATTTAGCAGGGATCCTGGAAGAAGGGGGGTCCTTGGGTACCTCTTCACAAGGTGCATGAGATTTGCTGCAAGGTTGGCTCTGGTCAGCAGTGGGAGCTCTCAGAAATGGCAGAGGAGGGAGATGAGAAGAGGCCAAGAGTCCTTTGTTTTAGGAGACCTCAGCCTTCTGGCAGGGATCCCAGAAGGTGCTGGTGGTGGGGACACTGGTGGCACCCGAGCACCCAGCCCTGTGCAGGAGGAATGTAGGCCATTCCCGCTGAGAAGGGACATGAGTGCTATAAATAGTTTGTTTAACGCATGGTGGCCAAGCCCTGGAAAGCCCCAGCCCACGCACATTCCCTGCTGCTGGTGCTGGGACRGCAGCTGTTGAAAAAGGCCGAATCCAGCAGCTGCTGGCTGGTGCTCCTGGTYCCTGCCCTGAGTCCCAGCCCTCCTGCTCCCCTCGAGGGGTGGCTGAGCCCTTACCATCCTCTGGCACAGATGCCAAGGCTTACCAGTGTGTGATGCCAGCTCTGTAGTGGTGTTGATGCTGCTTCCTGGGCCGGCAGTGACTACAGGATGCTGCTGGTGTGGAGGGACATGGAGAATGAGGAGAGGGCTTTCCTCCCTGACAGAAGTGGGGAGATGGCCATGCCTGGGCCATGCTGGAGTCAGCTGCTGCCCACCCACGAGCCCTCAGCTGTGGTTCTCGCCAGCCCCGGCCTGGGCTGCTGGRCTGGGCCCCCACATCCCGTCTCTACTCACACAAAGGCCCCTTGTGCCCACGGGAATGACATTCCTGCAGCCCTGGGCCTGGGGCAGAGCGAAGCGTAGCCAAGTGGAGATGGGGCCAGAGCGCAGCTGCCGGGGCAGCTGGTGGGGCCAGGTGGGGATGGGCTGCGGTCCTGGCCCCCCTCCCGCACCTGGGGGATGGACAGGAGCAGCTGGTGGGAGAGGGGAACCCCCAGGACGGGCAGGCAGCTCTGGACTGTGGGAGGCACGGGCATATGAGGTGCAGGAAATTCTGGGATGTCGGGGAGCAGGAGCAGCAGTGCTGTGCGTCCATGGATGCTCCTGGCCCACCCAACACAGATCTATGGGATAGGTGTGGGAAAGCCAGAAATGGGCCGGGCTGTCTTTTGCCACCTAGCACGTGTCCCCAGACAAATGCAAAGCTAACAGCAGTTTTGGTCACATCTGGGCCCCTTGCTCCTCACCTCACCATTTAGGGACTCTGCTGGTCATCTCCCTTTTCCCCTTGGCAATGAGGGGGATGAGCCAGGCTATCTTCTGTGGTATTAGCTGGCAGCTGGGGCAGCTCCCGCCTGCCCACCCCCTGCCGATACTGGCCTGCCAGCTGCCAGGGCCGACAAGGGGAGGGATCTGCCAGCTGGCACCGGAGGAAGGGAGGGAGAAGGCTTCTGGTAAGGCTACGCCAGGGGCACCTGTCACCCCAAAGCCAGGGTGTCACCATGGCCTACAATTGAGCCTGTGTGTGCATGATGAGGCCCTACAGCTGGGACAGCTCTGCATGCCTGCACCCCTGTGCCATCCCCACTGGAATCCTTGTTTTGCAGGGGATTTGGGATTGCATGGAGGAGCAGGAAGCCTGGGCTGGCAACCTCTAAGGTACTCCCACSCCACAAGGAGACAGCTCAGCTCACAGGTAGTCAGGACACAAGCACAAGTAGCCCCCCTGCATCCAGTCCTGGGGAGCCTCTGTAGGAGAGGGCAGCCTTGGGAGGCAGCGGGAGGGTCATTTCCTCCTGCAGGCACACCTCAGCACCCATCTTCCCTCGGAGCCAGGTTGGCCTGCCCCAGAACTGGGTGCTGCCCCACTGKGGGGACACTGG